TGTACATACAAACATATAAATATTATATTTGAGTATTAAAACTTTTTTTATTGTGTTGTCTACAATACCTACACGTATTTGTTTGCATCTTCCTCACCTCCCGCTACCTACCTATCCTAGTCTCTCCCTTAACCCGTAATCCTCGCCACAATTCCTGGCAATACGCCTGCTGTTTTCGTTTTTTGCGTGATTTGAAGTGAAAAACAAAAAACTTTGAAAACACTCTTCCTATCCTCTTTTTTCTCATTTTCAATGAAATTAATATTTAATTGCAAATATTTTCTCATTTTCAGTAATTTGCCTTGAATAAATTGTGAAACTTTTTTAATTAATTTCAACCAGAAGCTTTGTATATTTACCTTTGCTATTTTCTAGTGCTTAGTTTTTTATTTAAAAAAACAAAAAATATTTCTCTTTTTGTTATTTGCGAAATGCACTTTCTAGTGTTTAATGGGCGGCTGGTGGGGTCATTACAGCTTTAGATGTCAGCCAGTGGATTATAGCGATGATCCCACTACGAAGCGTGTAAGTGTCTTAACAAATGCTCAAATGAACAATTAACTGACAAAAATTTATACTAAAAGCAAAAACTTAAACACAACAACGACAGTTTCATATAAGAATATGCAAAAATATTATTAAATTTAAATTAATTAAAAACGATTGCGGACGAATTATATCACTTATGCAATTCGTATGGTTTGGATTTTGCTTTGAATAAGCAAAAATGTCATTTTTTACAAAATAAATATTTTAACTAAATGAGTTTGGCAAGTTTTTCATCTCTCCTATAAAATTATTAAAAAAACTGGACTTAACAAATTTTCACTCTTAGCTACCGAAATGATGATAAATAGTTAGAAACTGAACTGAATTTTTGTAGCATAAAATTGAATTTCAGCTGTGCACTAATATATTTTTATTTTTATTCAATACTACAAAAATCAAAATACACAAAATCCAAAACCAAAAATCAACTTACGAACTGGGAATGCATACCGCATAGATGGTACACGCGTGTTGGTGGTACTACTTTTCCAAATTCACCGAGTTCTTGGATACGGTAAGTTCGGTCAAAAGGAATATGCATTTTTAAATTTAATTTAAATCCGTCGATTCACCATTCGTGTCGGGACAACTTCTTATTTGCTTTTAAAATCTTTTTGTTCAATTCGGCACATTTTATTTTGTTCTGAAACTACCAATTAATGATATTGTTACCAACATATACGATATTAGTTAAAAATGTCATTCATGGAGTCTGGTTAAGAAGTCCATGGTTTAATTTCGAACTGTATTGTGATGAGCGGCTTCGCAATTTGCTCTGAAACTTCCGTTTTATATATGTACATGTTTAGCTTAAAAATGGATCTCATAGTCCCACCAAACCAAATTTGGAGGCGGATGACGGATCGACTAAACACGCGAATGACTGCCCTAACACACTTAAATACCTTAAAAATTAGGCTTTAAAATGCATATAAGCATAAGTATTTGCAAATATGTTTATTAGGGAGGGTCATTTTTTTGTTTGACTAGGAGGTTTCTACGTATAAGTCTAAGCAAATTTTTCGAAGAAACCATGGGTCTAAATTTAATTTGGATTTTGCCAATTTGCGAAAATAGGTTTCGAAGAAAATGTAAAAATTGTCACTGTTGCGCCCTCTGGTGGAGATTTTAAGAAAAGGAAAAGTCCAGAAAAGGATTCCTTATATTAAAAAACTCCTTATAGCATGTCTTTACACAACAACTAAGCACTTCTTTACGACACTACAACAAAATGCTAAGAAACCTATTTTTGCAATTTGGTTCCCATACAAATTGATCCGCCCTAATCTTCATACAGAAACATTAAATATTTGTTTGCACTATTTTGATATGGCTTTCTCATTTTTTCTACTTTTTTTTATAGATCTTCTTTGTGCTACGCAAGAAGACGAGCCAAGTAACAACGCTGCATGTCATACATCACGGCTGCATGCCGATGTCCGTCTGGTTTGGTGTCAAGTTCACACCAGGTGCGTTTACAAACATACAAACCTCACGTACTGACATACATATGTATACATACCAATTTACGTACTGAAAAATGAATAACGCGTACAAAAGTGACATTCAAATTGACCTCGAAAGCGTGCTTACATCACTTCTTGCTTGCTATGTCTTATGAAATTTTCATATACGCTTTCATTCTCCAAACAGGTGGTCACAGCACTTTCTTCGGCCTGCTAAACACATTCGTGCACATCATTATGTACACGTATTACATGTTTTCAGCCATGGGTCCACAATACCAGAAATACTTGTGGTGGAAGAAATATCTGACCACTCTGCAGATGGTAAATGGATAATGACATTCGCGCATTGAATCTATGTAAAAAGAAATACATATTAATTGGTCATCTCTTTCTTCGACTCTCTTNGTTCACACCAGGTGCGTTTACAAACATACAAACCTCACGTACTGACGTACATGTGTATACATACCAATTTACGTACTGAAAAAAGAATAACGCGTACAAAAGTGACATTCAAATTGACCTCGAAAGCGTGCTTACATCACTTCTTGCTTGCTCTGTCTTATGAAATTTTCATATACGCTTTCATTCTCCAAACAGGTGGTCACAGCACTTTCTTCGGCCTGCTCAACACATTCGTGCACATCATTATGTACACGTATTACATGTTTTCAGCCATGGGTCCACAATACCAGAAATATTTGTGGTGGAAGAAATATCTGACCACTCTGCAGATGGTAAATGGATAATGACATTCGCGCATTGAATCTATGTAAAAAGAAATACATATTAATTGGTCATCTCTTTCTTCGACTCTCTTTATTCAGGTACAGTTTGTGCTGATCATGGTGCACGCCTTCCAATTGCTCTTCATCGACTGCAATTATCCAAAGGCGTTCGTTTGGTGGATCGGCATGCATGCGGTGATGTTCTTCTTCCTGTTCAATGAATTCTACAAGAACGCCTACAAGGGACGTCGCACGGTAAGTGAACACCCCAAAGGCATACTACTCTGTACTCTTAGCTTGCTACAAGAAGCATTTTACGTGCTGCATTATCAATGATACATTTTATACCCATAAATAGATTTAGTCATGTGTATTTAGTATCTTATTGGCTTCTGTTTTTCTTCTTTTTTTTTTTTTTTTTGGTAGCACTGCACAGCTTACACTCACAATACAAATGCACAGATATTTTAGTAATTGTATTTTTAATTGTACACTAACTGTTTGGTGCTTAAAGTGAGAAATAGTAATGTAGCTCCTGTTNTTGTTTTTCTTCTTTTTTTTTTTTTTGGTAGCACTGCACAGCTTACACTCACAATACAAATGCACAGATATTTTAGTAATTGTATTTTTAATTGTACACTAACTGTTTGGTGCTTAAAGTGAGAAATAGTAATGTAGCTCCTGTTAAGTATACCACCCCCCAGCCCCACCAAGTACTTAATTCTGAGTAAAAAATACAAAACAATTAAAAAATAGTTTCGTTTCTGTGGACTTGACTTTGTTAATTTAGTTGTTTATCCTTAATTCACATATGTATGCAACGTAACTGAAATCATAATTAAAATATAAAATGCCAGCAGCAGCATCATTCACGCTCCAAAAATACTCGTTCCGGCACAGTCACGCTGAAGACATCTTCGAGTGGCACCACGTTCCTCAAACGACGTACGAGCCTAAAAGGAAGTGTTAGCAAAATAAGAAGCAAGCGATGTGGACACAGTGTTCAACGAGCAATATCACAAGTTATACTTCTACTTCTATTGCTTTGATTTTCCACTTTAGCCTGATGAAAAACGTCTAAATGCACCCAACGTGAACACTTTCGTGAGAAGTCTGAATTTTTAGTCACTGTTTACAAAAAATTACTATGTAGTTATAATCTAATGGACACTCTGAATACCACTTATTTCGGGTTTCCAGCCGGCATTAAATGACAAAAATTTTACTTAAAAATTTTGGGTATTACGAAATACTATTGTAATTTTTTCAATACATATGTACATTTAAATTTTACTTGTAAATCTAATCAAACTTCAATAAAATGTTTAAATTCACATCAATCAAAAATTCATGCTGGATTTCCACTAGTCATTGAAATGATGAAACAAATTTTATCTTTAATGCCATATGTAAACGAACTTAAAGAATATTTTGTACATATACTTTTTAATGACCAACTTTCTCATTAAAATTTTTGTCATTTAATGCTTAGTGGAGCTCCAGCATTATGGCCAGCGTGGGCCTCATTTCTGTTATATTTTACGAGACGGGGTATGAAATTCGTTCTGAAATTTTTTCACTCATACAGCTTGTCAATTTGACTCACTGGCTCAGTTTCTCCACATTAGTTTCCGGCCGGTACCAATCTGGCTTTTTGAATAGCTTTATTTGGTCGGTTATTATGAAAGATTTCCATCAAGGAAAAGTAATATATGGCGTTCTTTGAAGTAGTGTATCTTTGCTCCATAAATAAATGACTCTAGCAGTTTGTCAATTATCTTTTCCCTGGAGAAAATAATTATACTAGAATTTAAGTTCAAATCATTTTTACTGCACCTTAGGATGTGTGAGATGTGGTCTTCAAACCTACCTCGGATTAGGACGACAATTTCATTCGTGCGACCCTGAACATCGAAGCCCATGGACCTCAATAGATTAATTCATCTTTTGGATTCGTAAAAGTAAATACATACATATGCTCGAGAAACGGAGTCTTTCTCTTTCCTGTCGTAGAGTAGAGGTTATGGTTGTGGATTTAGAAACTCTTCCACTTTAGCGGCTTGTGGTAGCTTAAATTCTTTTGAAACGGACGCAATTGTCCATTATTTATAGATCGGTCAATAAAAGGGTCAATACACGTGTTTCACCAGAACCTTAAACTAGATTTGATAATAAGGAATATCAATTGCTGAATACGAATTACTAGGAACCTGCGATTCCATTCCTAATCAGTGATCGAAATTTCAGAGATTTCGCCAGCTACTTTACACTTTTTTAAAATAAACCCATTTTTTAAGAGTAAACTTTCGGCACCAGCTGAATAAGAAGTAGTCAATGTAAGTTAGTAAATTTGAGTGCACCATTACCAAAATTAAGTCCCCCGCCATAATGTTTTAATTTGACCTTACGTTTGTTTTTTTCCTGAACAAACACTGTAATGAAATCCACGAGATAATTTTTTGTCAGCAACTGTTTACATAATTTTTATTTAAGCATTAATTTAAAGCTCGTGATCAAAGCAAAAACTGCCGCCTTTGTTGTGAAAAAAAATAAAAATGTTCATAGCAGCAATGAGTGCTGATTTTGCTTCATGTAAAAAGTGGTCGCGTCATTTTTCTCATAAGGCTGACTATAGCATTTTGAAATTGTGATTCACCAAAAGCAACAAACAAATTCAGTAAAAGAGAAACAACAAAAAATAAACAAAGGAGTGTTTAAGATGAGATTATTATGGTTATCGGCTATTTGCTTCAGAGAAAAATAAACACTGGAAGAGGTAGTACCTGAAAAGCTATCAAAATAGCAATTAAAAAAAGGGTCAAACAATTTTATATAATCAGGGATATGAAGAATAACTGCGTATTAAAGAGAAATGCGGCTCTGGGTAGAAAGCAAATGCATTTGCCTAAACGAATTGAAATCTCTTTGTAGGAGAGACAACAGGAAAAAAAACAAGGACAAAATATATATTTTTACCTGAAATGCAAAAAGTCCTAACTAATAAAAAATTCAAAATTCACCTTTTAATTTATATGATGGATTTCATCGAACTACAAGTTTTAATTTACAACTACCAACATCATTTTATAAAAAAAAAAAATAAAAATATCAGGCACGACCTTTTCCATTTCAGTTGCGATGTTGTTACGTCTTTTTGCATTCCAAGTGACGATATATAGTTCATTAAAATCAGCACAAAGAAAATATTAGTTATGAACGTAAGCAAGGCCACTCCAAAAACGCCAAATTAAGGAAAAACGTCAAAAAAGTAAAAGGAGTTAAAAAATTATAGAGAAAGAGGAAAACCGAAAATATAAAAAAGATCAAAAAACTTAAAATGAAAAACAATAATAAAAAAGGAAAGAGAAAATGAAAAATAAGAAGAAAAAGAAACAGATGAAAAAATTAAAAAGAAAAAATAAATAAAAAGAAAAATAAAAAGTGAAAGAAAAAATAAAATAAAAATAATGATGTAGGGCGTTTTTCAGTCCAATTCTGACCTCAGCCATCGATATACTCCCATAGTAAAAATGAATAAATATTTTGCTCTAGTGAGATACTGGTAATCAATACAGTCATGAAATTTTTACACAACATAGAAGATGAGGTTGAGGTAATTTTTGCATACTCAACTCAAAATTTATATTTGTTGGAATGTTTATAGATTTCTTTTTGTTACTAAGTAAGTTCTGTTTTAAAATTGTTTGTTAAACTTAACTGTGGAATGCAAGGTATTCATTCCATTATTTACCATAATATTGTTCTTCCTGCGGACTCATAAACCCTTTCGTCCTGTTGTTGGTACCCGTCATCCCTACAAAAGCTCTCTTTTCCAGTGTGTAGATATGAACATGAAAAGAGAAGAGATCTAATAGAACTTTGCTGTTGGACACGTTCTAATGGGTCTAGTTACGCATGCGCCTAGAGCGCCTCCACTTGTGTGGTTCTATCAAATCAGATGACTGCTTCGAATAGATTCATCTCAGTATATTTGGGGACTTTTTCATGCCTTTCTTGAATTGACCACTTTCTTTGCAGTTTCTAGAGCAGTTTTTAATCTTGCGGACTGTCTAGAAAGTTTAATATTTTTTTTTTAATATATATATTTAATATTTGTGCCATCTATTCAAATTGTCTTCAGCCCGTCAAGTTTACATTTTCTTTTGAATGTTTCTGAAAGCGCCCATAATAGGTCATTTTCACCAAGTTTTAACTGCAGTGTAGGCCTATTGGAAAAAGCCGATTAGAATTCGAAGCAGACAATTGCACATATAAAGTACAAGCAAAAAAAAAATTAAGAAATATAAAATTAAGAAATAAACCTTGCCGATCACCCTATGTTTAAATTCTTGGAACTTATATGAGCTCTTAACTGCAGTTGATCCTTTGATGGAAATAGGTTTTAAAACGGTGTTGTGAATTTGAATAAAAAATTTTGATGTACGAATATAATGCTGGATTTCCATTAGGCATTAAATGGCAAAAATGACAAATGACAAAGTTGGGCATTAAAAAATATTCGTGTCATTACGTTAAAAAGAGTGTCATTAAGTTGATTTCCACATAGCATTTTTTTAAATGGCTTATATTTTTTGTCATTTCAATGCCTAGTGGAAATTCGGCATAATTCGAATTTCAAATATATTTATATGTACATACACACATACTTACATTTTTTCATTCTTTGAATAAAATCAAGCCTAAACTTAGATTCCGCCAAGAAGCCCGAATGACAAGACTTAATTCACTAGACCGAAAACGTTCGTAGCGTTACGACATACATATGTATGTTAACGAGCCTCGAACTCCTATGCACGAATCTGTACACAGCTGAAGAACATATCCATCCCTTTTGGCAAAATGTAATAGACTTGTCGGCATTTTATCGATTGATCTTATATGTATTTATTTATTTAGCTTCACTGCCATAGCACCTTCATGCACTTGGGTTAATAAGTAAGCCAAAGGCGCCCAGCAGAGTAACGACCAACTGTTGCATATTTTATTGGTCAGCGAATTTCATTAACAATCTCATGATGTAGGCCCTATTTTTTAAATGAAAATTACCGCTGCAACGCAAGTACATATTTAGTAAATTAGTAATCATAAAATTATCGGCTAGCTAAAGTGAAAATGTGTATGTGTTCACATCAACTGACACGAAGAGCCACAGCAGGGTGTTGCAAATGTGAATGTCAATTGAAGGAAGTAGGTAACTAGGCCGAAAATTGCTTACATGGAGAAAAATGCATAAAACAAAAACGAACATCGTAGCAGCAACACCTAATGAAACAAAAAACAAGCACGAAATAAATATAAAATTACAAACTAAAAAAAAAAGTCAGTTGTATTTGTTTGTGCGCTGTCAACATTGCCTAGCTCAGGCCGTGATGGAGGCGATGATGTTGGTGATGGTGGTGTTGATGCTTGGCGGCTGCCGTTTACTGCTTGCCGGCACCGGTGATGCAAGTGAAAGTTTCAATTATTACATAACCCAACAATGAATTTCATGGTGTGCTATTTACTAAGTTTGTGTCTTTTTCCGGTTTTGTTTTTTCTTGCGGTTCGCGGGCTTTTCGGTTGCTCTACTACTCTGCTATGATTCAATACTTACATATTTAGCAGTTTCCAAACACTATTCCCAAAGCGCTAGCTTCACCTTTGAGTGCAACAATAAATGCCAATAATGGTTTTTGTGTTTTAATAGATGAGTTTAGCGTAATAATACCTATGACATACAAAAAATAAACAAACAAAAGAAAAGAGCCATAATAACCACTATATATGTATATATATTAGTTATGCGGCTTTGCAGACTTTTCGCTCTTAGCTTACCATATCCATTGCGCTCCATCGCTCATTGCAGGGTTTTAATACGATACTATGACCCACCAGTTGTCGCTATATCTCTCTCTTTCTCTCATTGCTCTGTTAAAACATGTACATATCGACTGCTGAGTGGAAGATCGACCTATCCCGGCATCCAGCTTGAAAACTCTCTATCTCAAAAAACTTCTCAACTTGTATTGAATACATAGTTTTCTCCTGTCATGGCTCGCCCAATTATTAGTGGCACACCAAAGCCATAACCATAACCAATTATCTTGTGTGATCAAAAGTACAAGCGAGCTAACTGTCCCAGCGCCGAAAAGACTTTGATCAATTATATTACCTAATGTCGATATCACAGCTTCAGCTTCTTTTTTTAACATCTATCAACTTGTCTTCTTAAATAACGTCTCCTGCGCCACCTATCGGATTGATTCATTCTTCGTATTGCACTGCCATCGGGTTCTGAGCCATCTTTAAAATTTCTAGTCGGGAAAGTGGTTAAAATTTATTGCAAGATTTGACCCAAAAAACATACATATGTACATTAGGGTGCATCACCTAAAAAAGTAGCGGGTTTCCACCGGAATCATTAAACGTATTATATCTTAAGACTTCCGCCAAAATATTTCGGAAAAATATTAAGTGTTACACGAACTGACACCTTTTGAAAATAACTCTTAAATCTCGTTATTTTGATTCCTTGATAAATTACAAAAAAACGGGTATGCAGACTTTTATTTATTTTCTGAAATAATTTTTTAGAAAAATTATTTAAAAAAACTAAATTTATTTATAAAAAAAACTCCATTTTTAGAGGTTTTTCAAATGGGGCCAGTCACGTAATCTAATATTTTACAAATATTTCGACGGAAGTTTTAGAATATAATACATTTTATAATTCCGATGGAAAAGCCGTATCGTTTTTTTTTTTTTTTTTTTTGAATAGAGAGTGATGCACCCTAATGCACATAAGTGCGTGGCAAATTAAATAAAAACTTTTCATTACTTTTTCCCTAGAATTGACAATTTAGCAAGAAACATGCGGGGTAGGGGTTGGCATAGCATTATTCGATCCGGGCGCTCAATATCCAAACTACGCCATGGAAATAAAAGCCTACAGTTTCCGCCACCCACCAAAGTCTTTTAACACTATACATAGAAAGTTGTTCCGTTCTGGACACATCACAACTTTTTTCAACTAGGCTCGTACTAAACTTCCTCAGAATTATGCCAGATTCTCACTAGGCTTTAAATGACAAACATTTTATTCACAAACTTGCGCTCTAAAAAATATACGCTTCATTACTTTAAGAATAATAGACATTATGAGCCGAAAACAAGTAGCTTAAAAATTTTTTCGTTTCGGTTTCGTTTTTTTCGTTCACAAAGCTACTTGAGCAAATAGCCCTAATGCCGGATTTCCGCTAAGCATTAAAAAATATCTGTGGCATTACGTTAAGAAAAATTGCCATTCAATTCGTTTCCACATTGCACAGATTTTACGTCATTTCAATGCCTAGTGGAAACTCGGCATAAGTCTTATTTTAATGCCTTGTGAAAATTTGGCGGTAGGTAAAGAAAGCACACACTTTTTTTTGGAATACCACAGGCCTTCACTGTGCTATTCATGGATCTAATTTTTGTATTCATTATAATTTATCTGCTGTGCCATTATTTAACAACTTCCAAATTTGCATTTTACTAAAAAAAAAAACATTTGTGCAAATTGCATTAATTTTTTAAGCATTGATTTCGCTAAATATACACATACATACATATGTACGTACGTATTACAATGCCTATTACAAACAAATCTGGTTACATCATCATTTCTTGAGCTTATCTTCATACAATAGGTATTCGCAAACATACATACATACATATGTATCTAGGCTTGCTCTATGCATTTTTGTTGTGACAGCTTGCTTAATTCGCTGCCAGCTAAGAGAAAAACAAAAGACTTAAGCTAAGAACTTCTTGTTAAATAATTTGAATTTCTTTCGTTTTCGTTTCATCCTGTATCGATTGCGTGCTTGGCGCATACAACTGTAAACAACTGTAACAACTACTACCACCAATCAACTGTCATCGCTACTACTACCGCACCTACTTGTACTACTGCTACTGCTACTACGTCTTCTGCTCGCAATCAATCAATCAATGCATTCATTCTTGCATTCAATCAATTCATCAATCGGCGAATATTTAAAACAAAAACCCAAAAACCAAAAAAAAAAATTGCCACCATTCAATTTATAATCATTAAATGGCTTACATGTTTTATGTTTGTGTTTGTGTATGTGGCATAAACTAATGCACCCATTGCTGCTTCCCATTGCACCAACATAACACTGCCTGATTTGTTTTGATTGGTGTATTTGGGATATTGGTTTTTTATATAAATTCTCCCTTTTAATTTTCTTACTTTTAAATCCAACAGAAACACAAAAATTTATTGATGTTCATTTTGCAGCGCAAAGAGAAGGACGACGACGACTTGGATGTGCAGAAAACGAATAAAGCCGTGACGGAGGAGCAGCAGAAAGCGTCACTCACAAATGGCCACATCAGCAATGGAGTAGTCAGCAATGGCAGCCTTGCCAACGGACTGACAAAGAATGGCTATAAAATGGCATCGACGTCGCTGCTGGCCAACGGCAGTGGCACCACCTTGAATGGCAGCATCAAGCCGACGACGGCGAATGGCAGCTTGCACAAAAATGGCGATGCGCCGCTGCTAGTCAATGGTCATAGCAAAATGGGCGTTGAACTGTCGACGCAGCTGACGCAGAGAAAATTGCAGCAACAACAAAAATAATATAGGGCAAAAGGCATAGCAGCCAATGCGACAGCAACTGCAACTGCAACTGCAACTGTAATAGCAACAGCAACAACGACAGCGACAGCGACGGTTACGGCGACGACAGCCGCAACTAAGCTAACAACACAAAAAAATAAAAAAACACAAATACAAATACAAAAACAAAACAAAGCAAAGAAAAAAACATAAAAATACAAAAAAGGTTCAAAGCAAAACAAGAAAAAAAATAAATTTATAATTAATTAATTTTTAGTTATTACAAAAGGAAATTAAATTGTAAAAAGAAAATGTAAAACAAAAAGAAGCAAAAGGGCGTGAAAAAGGGGAAGAAAAGGTTATATGCATAATTTCTTTTTATTATCTTATACATGCATAGATACATACATATATGTAAATTAATAAATTTATACACATTCACACACACACACACACACACACACACACATACATGCATAAACATATGCGACACACAGAAATGCACGGGCACGCATGTACTCTTACCCGCAGAGAGAAGTTGTAAAAAGAAAATATTTTAAAGCCAAAATTATAGAAACATGGCAAAAATAGTAACTTAACTTGCAGCTGGAATATCAGCAATTCAGCCGATCACCCTGTACACACACACTGGTGGCAGAAATAATAGAAATGCCTGATTTTTACCCGTTTTTGCTTTTGCTTATTTAATGTTTAATATTTTTTTATAAAAGCCTAGCACATTATAAAATGAACTGCATATTGATGTGCATTTTAAACTTTGCATTAAATTTTCGTTGATTTATTCGATTTTTTTGTCGCAATTTATATTTATGTGGAAAAAATCCGCAAAAACAAAAAAATTATCAAAAATCAACGGTATTTTTTAGGCACTCGAAACTTGCACTTTTGCCTACTAAAATTTAATAGGCTATAAAACTGCTAACCTAAAATGTTTATAAAAGTTACGAATTAAAAATTTAAAATTATGGTGAACATTTTTTTGAGTTTTTATAACTTCTGCACAAAGTTTCATACGCGCATTTACATACAGTTTATTACGTAATGAGTTAGGGTGATGCATTAAATGCCTTTTTCTCAAGTAGGTTTTAAAATTAATCTGTATTTTTTAACAGTTTTTTTCAGAACAAAACTTGTGTTCAAAGGGCGGATAAACTGTAAAAACTACTTGAGAAAATGGCACTGAGACATTTATAAAGAAATATCAAACATTAAATAAACAAAAGGAATGCAACCAAATAAGGCATTGTATTTTTTCGGCCACCAGTGTGTGTACATAAATGAGGTTAGGTAGAGGCCCTTTGCGACGTTCTAACTAAACAATAAAAGCAAAAATGCAAATTATTACATTTTATTCAATACCATCTATCTGCGGTTTTTACAAAAATAGACTTATCGCACAATTATGTAAAATCGTAAGTCTTCGTTGATCGGAAAAATATTAGTTCGGCAAAAAAATGAAATGTCATCAGGAAATATTAATTTTTAGCAAATGAAGTCGGCATAAAGTTTCTTTTCTAGATACAACAAAAATATATATTAAAACTTAGAAGAAATAATTTAAAATAAACTCAATCAAGCTAAAAAGAATTTCTCATTTATACAAATGTTTTCAATGCACTTTTCATTGCAACGTCACAACCGCAAGCTATGTATATCGGGAGTAAAAATTTGCGATTTCACATGTCTGTATGTTTCTTATGTTTCTCTGGTCTTAGCTCCCAACTTATCTAACTCCCCCCAAGTTACTCTCAAGCATAAATGTTCTCAACAATGTTTTCCGTATCAAATGTTGCTCAACTTTGTTGCTAACAACATTTATTTATTCAGCAGACATATNCTTATCTAACTCCCCCCAAGTTACTCTCAAGCATAAATGTTCTCAACAATGTTTTCCGTATCATATGTTGCTCAACTTTGTTGCTAACAACATTTATTTATTCAGCAGACATATGTTTTTTTTTCGTCTTTAGTTTTGTTTTTATAGCTGTTGTATTATATTTTCTCTAATTTCTAGAAACAGCTCTTCTTAAACTCTTTAAAAAGTTAAATTTCAACAAATTTCTTTGTTAGATAAACCCACAGCGCTAAAAAATTCAATAGGTTGGTATATTAGCAAACATTTGTACATGCAGACACCAACATAAATACATTTACTACATACAAATGCATACATACAAACATACATAAACACATAAATATTCATATGTATAGTGATATACATATTTATATATATTTATGTACAATATATACATATGTACATATATTTATGCATCTGCCCACAATAGAAAAGTAAACAACTCAAAAATGTACACAACAAATTAACGATACCACTACAGCCACACAAAAAAAAAAACACAAACAAACATTAAATGTTAATAAGATTATGAATGATACTGGTTTAGGTATGCAAATAATTTCCATTTCCGTTGTATTTTATAAGTTATAAGTACTATATAACATATATATATATATATATATATACACAAATATATTAAGTGCCCTTTTTTCTATTTTTTTATTTTTGAGTTTTTTGTTGTACAAAAATTTTTAAGCTTAAGTTAAAAGGTAAAAAGTTATTAACTGTTACACAAAAGTAATCAAAAAAGTCATTAAAAATTGCGGCAAAATTAAAAAGCAAACACAATCTGTTTATAAGTAAGTAAAGTCTTTAATATATTGAAAAAAAAAAAACAAAAATCAAAAAGGTACGAAGAGAATACTTAATTGTAACTATTTAAAATTAGCTGCAAAATAATAAAAATAATTGAATTAAAATAATTAGGTCATAGTAAGCGAGAAGTGTGTTTGATAAAAAAATAATAAAATAATAAAATCGATAAAAAGAATAAAAGTTATAATAAGATACAAATTTAAATCTATATTTAAACTAGAAAATGGGTAAATAATAAGCGTACTTTAGCTTGTTATTAGAAAGGGTAAACGAACTGCATATTACTAAAATACACTAAACAACGCGATTTCCACGCCGTATGAACAAACGCGTAGGACACTTAGGCATGATGATGTTGCTCGGCTTTACGCTTTACTACAACAATACAACAATACACGAGTAAACGCATGCATTCTAATATTCGTCTATTCGGGCATTCGGGTACAAGAAGAAGATAATTACAAATTTGTATGGACCAAGCTTATATAAAATATGTGTTGGAAATTATACATATAAATATTTATGTATGTATGTACTATAAAAGATTTTCTTATAATATAAGAGCAATTCTAGTACTAGTTGTCGCTACACAAACAAAAATGAGAACAACTCAGATGCAACATATTAGTCAAAGTAAATATGTATATGTATAAAATAAAAAGAACAAGAAAACTGAAGAAAAACTAAAAAGGGAAATAAAAAAAAAATTTACGAAAACCTTGTAGTTGATAATTTATAGTGTGGCAAAAGTGGATGCATAGGTTTTTAATAGCAAATCCGAAGCTAAGTAGAAATATAATTAATTAGGGTTGAGAAGTATTGCGTACTTTTGAGAATTATTTTATCGGCGTTTTTAAGAATAGGGTATTTTTGAGAGTCGTCAGACTGCCTCTCAACGGTTTTACTTTACAATGTTGTTATCATGCTCAGTACTTTTTAAATGTACACACGTTGGCGACATTTCAATGCTTAGTGTAGAAATCTTACAGGCTGGCGGGACTTTATTAAAATTAATAGCTTTGTTTCTTTACAGATAGTTATACGCTCTTCTTTTTTTGCCTATAAAAATACCGATAAAAATTTTACTAGCAGCTGTCAAAACGCTAAACAGCTGTTGAAACGTAAACAAAGTGGTTTTTACTTGTTTCTTTCTACATATTTTCTAATGAAAATGAGCGAACCATTAAATATTGGTGATGTATTGCAAAATGTAAGTATTTGGGAATACTTTTGGAATATAAACAGCCAGTTTCTTCTAGTTTACGTTTCTCACCTGTCTCTTTATTTCTCTCAGTTTTCCCACTCTTCTTCTTCCTGATAATTATCTTCTAGAAAGTAAAGAAACAAAGCTAATATTTAAATAAAAAATTATGTCAAATGAATGATCCTCGACACACTAGTCTTTTCAGACTGTCTGACCAGACAGATATGCGAAAATACACTAGTCTGAAAACGGTTGTACGTTTGTACATACATACATATGTATACGTGCTACAGTTGTGTTAGTAAGAGATTTTTCGTTACGTGTGTTTCAGACCGAAGTCATACCGAATTTTTCTCGGTCTGAAACTGCTGAGGTAAAATACTACTCTCTCTGTGTCAAGGCTCAATGGCTAACTGTACTGGGTACAAGTATTGTACTTCTGAGTATCAATTCGACACTTATTATGGACAGAGTATTTTTGAGTACTGAGTATTTTCGAGTTCTTTGGTGAATGCTGAGTATTGTGGAGTACTTAGTATCGATACTTTTAAAAATAGGGCATTATTTATGCTTTTGGGAATCAAATTCTGAGTTCTTTTGGTATCGATACTGCCCAACGCAAGAATTAATATTTTACCACAAACAAAAGACCCTACGAATTTAAAATTGTAGCAGATATTAATGGGTCAATTACGGATGGCAGCCGAACTTCAGTTGAGTTTCCAGTGGCTGAAATGGTATTACCGACGGCATCTGGCAACTTAAAGCTGGCAACTGAGTTGCTATATTGGCAACTGCATTTTTGTGGTTGCAGCGAATTTTTCATTGGAAAATTTATTTATTTTTTGAACTGTTTGTTCAGCTTATTTACTTTACTGGAACTTCAAAATTCTATCATTTTCAACTTTATAGCACTTAACTTTAGTTGCGATTCATAATACAGATTTTTCCTCCCTCTCTCCTTAGAGCTTATAATAGTATGAACTATTTCCTCCAGCGCTGGAGACAAGTAAAAGTAGTGTTCATCACAAAGTCTGGTAGGAAGAACCATGAAATGATAAAAGATTTAGAACTCTAAGCCTGACTTGCTTTGTTCTTAAAGCACTGGAAAGCTAGATTACACACGTGGGCTAATCGCAGTGGCCCTGTGAAATGAATGCAACTAAAAAAGGAAATCATAATTTTTAAGTTGTGGGATTCGAATCCACGATCTAGCTCCGTCTGCCTAAGCCATTATACTGTTCCACCTATTCGGCTACGGTAGTTGTCATACCGACAGTATTCCCTGTAACAGTATTTACTGTACGATTACCTTTTATTTTTATTTTTACCTACATATTATAAATGAGAACTAAATGAAAATAAAATAGAAAAAAGTGCGTCTGATATTTTGGCTTGATGCATTTCTGAACACACCCTATATAACGGACACGAGCGATGGCGATAGTGTTACTTTCAAAATACCTGGCGCGCAGAAATTTGTAACGACCGACCACAGGAAATGCTTCCCTACAACAGGCGTCCTAAAATAGCTGTTATTAGTATACAACGGTCATGGGCACTGCCTTGCCCGTGGGCAAAGCTCTTTTAAGCTTTCTAGACATTTTGTAAAGCTCTCTCTCTTCCCATCGCTGGTATACAATTTCAAACTATTAGCTACTGTTACGCCTAACTCACGAATTTACCAATACCTTCAACGATTTGTAAATTAATTTAATACTTCATACAATATTTCAAATAAGATTTATTTTTACTTTTATGATTGATATAGATAATATGGAGTAATGGATTGTATATTTTGGGGAATTAATTTTAATAGACTTCTCACTCGTTTTGTGCTCTCCTGAAATTGACTTCCATTTTCAGGCAAAGCATTGTCGTTATGCGATTACGAATATTTAAAACAGCGCTATTTGAAAAATAATACAGCACTCATAAGGTAATTAATTTAAATATTACACACATTTTTTGTGAAAAATTCATTCTCTTATCCATACTTAAACAACTAAAATAGCTCCCTTAGCAAACATAAAAAGGGATGTATAGAATTAACTATAACTAATCTATAATCAAAGCATTTAAAAAACATATTAAAAATAACTTGCTGAAATTTCGACTCCAAACAACGTTAAGAAACAAATCACGACATTAACGTTCAAATTAAAATATTCATATCTACTCCCCTAAATAAGTAAAAGTAAAAAAATTGCAGTTTATTTTCATTTATAGTCTTTAGATAGGGTTGATTAATTAAATGACTTGAGCATTTGGCTCATCCTTCTTGAGCGTTTAAAAATCTGACACCGATCTTCAGTCTCAAAGTATACATATGTTAATTTATCATTTTATCTCCACTACTTTACTATTTCATACTACTAATATAAAAATAGTTATATGTATGGTTGTATGTACTATGTATATTAAACACAGCATTTATGCATCATTACCATCGCCGCTGTTGCGTGGCCGTTTCAAGCCCAACTCGATTACATTGTCATAATCGGCAACACTCAATTTGGACTTCTTTATATTGGAGTCGAGTACACGCAGATTACACGTGTAATTTTGTTCTATTTTACTGAGACTGGCAGACATTTCGCTTGCAAGCTTTTTCGCAGTTTCCGATAATGTCACTGGCAGTCGTCCACAACGTTTGATTGGACTTATTACATCCGAGAGTTTGCACTCGTGCAATTCGCCATAGTCAAGTACTTCCCATTCGCCATTCTCCATGTTCCAAGTAAAAAGTATGCGACACTCAAATTGACGTCGATGAAAAGCGCAATCCAACTTACGTGAGCAGTTGAGACAGTTTGTTGGCGAAGTCGGTAGCTGGTCGCGAGCTGAAAACTGTGCCATTAACAAACAGATAATTGTTTGACTAACCGGACAGACCTAGATAAAAAAAAAATCCGGAGCAAATTAATAGGTGATCAATACGAAAAACATTAAAGGGATATTATAAGCTTACCCTAATTAGCTCACATGCCCAGTCGTAGAATACATCATAGGTCTTTTCGTTCTTCTGGCAAAGCGCGCTTATTGTATGGTATGTGAAAGTTTCCAAATCAAATGAGTGCTGCGTTATCACTACACTAGGGCAATTGAGTTGCTGGTATGTGGCTTGAGATACCATTTGCATTTCCGAATAGCATGAGCCATGCACCTCAACAGGCAGTGATGTGTGATAGCCAGGTGAAATACAATCATCTATTCGAGGAGAGCACAACTTTGGATAATATAAAAATGCTTACGTATTTACTAGGGCTTACCTTCTTCACTGGTTATAACCGAGGCTGCATCATCTTCTTCCACAAAGCGTCGTTTGAACTTTTTCGTGCACAGTGGCTTCTCTAACATTGTGCCCCCTTGCAAAGGCATCTCCACCACACGATTTTCTTCGCGTCGTGGTGACAGAAATGGAGCATTTGCATTCGGCGACATTGCGCCACTTATATCCAGGTGTCGCTTGGCCATGGACACCTGTAATGGCGAGAGAGTACCCAGTGGTTTGAAGCTTAGCATTTGTTGTGTGGCTGTTGATATTGTTTGTGGTGGCGATATGGAACCGTAAATGTGTGCTGGTGTGACATGCCGGCTAGGTGAGCGTATAAGACCACCAGCAACAGGGGAACTGCATGGCGGCGATCGAAATCCCTGCTGCAACGAAGTTATAGGCGACGCGCGATGCATGGGCGGTGGTGTACAATGCCGAGCATCGCCGCAATTGGACGGTGAAGCGTGTGATGGCCGCGGAGATGAAGATGGCGAAGCACATGGCGAATTGTAGAATAGATGAGTGCCAGAAGCAGCAGATGTGGTAGCTGAGCGATGTAGAGACCAAGTGCTGCTGCTGCCGTACGATGTACTATAATGTGACATCGCGAGGCTTTTTTTGGCTGAGCGTATCTTCGTAAACGGTACAATATTCTCAGAGTTGTCCTCAGAAAATTCATACTTTTTGTCTGCTAAACGACGTTTGCGCAATGTAGAGATCTTCTCACACTTTTCATTGTCCTCTGAGAATTCATATGCGTTCAACCGATCAGCCATGGTTGCTGATGCTGGACTACTGGAAGAGGGAATTGTGGTTTGTAAATCTATGGTAGTTACACCATTGCGGAAGGATTTTGTGACGATGCGATGATGACGCCTTCCACGGTGATTGATAAGGCTAAAACGAGCAGTGCCACCGCCGTTGGGACTATTATTTACTCCAGCGGATGATGTATTCGCTGTACTCTCAGTATCTTTGGAATTTGTGCTGGCAGTAGTGGTACTAGATACGACAGCGGCATTAGGTGAAGCACTACCGCTGCATGTGAAAATTACTTCATCGTAAGTTTTGCGTGAAATAAATGTTACAGCCGAACCAGGTGAAGTGAGGGATGCATCACTTTGTGACGCCCTAATGGGAGTTTCGCTGGAATGTGTCGAATCCGTTTCAATGTCACTAAAATCCGCAATTATGCTAGCGATAACGTTATTGTGATTGTCACAACTAGCTTGTTCATCGGCGGTTAGGGGCACCATACGGCGTTCAATACTCGATATACTCGCTGCCGATGATTCATGGCATGGCGTGCTGCGACTAGATGTCAACTGTTGAGTTTGTTGATGTGATGATAAAGTGCTGATTGCTGTTGCGGATGGCAATAATTCAATGTGCATCATATGCATAAAACCATTTGAAACGATTAGAATGCGTTCAGGACATATGAGATTAATATGCGAGTTAAATTTTGGATCGGATTCGGTTGAAGAATACTTGGTGTGCACGGTGAGGTTACACTTCAAGCATAGCATATGCCAGCGGAACGCTAAAATTATAGGGAAAAATATTAGAATTGAAAATCAGGCATTTTTTAAATTACTCACATATGCTATCTTCGTAATCCCTCATTTTTTTGCAGTCCAAACAACCGAGTTTAGGAACTTTAACATAAGTTATATAAGAATCCTCGTTTTCATTTTCAGCTGCGCCATGAACGATGAGAATGCGAGGATCGGAACACTTCCATTGAGTCATTGTTACTTTTTTAAGATTGTCGACACCATGATCATCAAAAAGGCAGCATGTGTAGTAGCTGCGGAGTGGTTTATGCGGTTGGTAGATCCAAAAGTACAAACTGAAATTTTACACGAACATTTTAGTTAAGACTTTCATTTTATATTTTCAGAACCTCTTACGTATATTTGTATCCATAACTAAAGGAATAGTGACTTGCGACCATATTGTCATTGCAACATACTTTGTAACTTAGGAGAAACTGACCACAGGCGCTTAGGCCCATAAACATGTGTCTGAAATAAAGAATTAGTTATATAAAATGTGCATATTTTATTTATTAACTTCATTATTATTTGCTATGTACATTTATTATTACTAAAAATACTACAAGGCCAGCCCCCCAATTGCAACAAACTTCGCAAAGGCAGTAGGTACTTTATTCGAAGGATGTTGATGCTGGGAGGGGACGTATCTTGGCTATCACAATAGCTAAATGCTTGGCATGGAGACAGGGCCGTCGAGAAAAAACCCGGGACCTGGACTAGAAAATCACGGGCCTTTACATAAATTGAAATACATATGTAATCTAAAATCATGTGATCAATTGGTATGTTACCATTTAGGGTTTAGAGTTAGAAACAATCAGCACGAATCGGAATATATTTATGATAAAAGCCTATAACTAAGAATGAGTTTCTCGCGGAAGTAATGAAATATTTTTCTTTCTATAATGAAAAACCTGTTTTTGAAAGCATGCGCATCGCTATTTTTAAATTAAATTGTTTAAAAAAAACTAATAAAAAGTTATAGCTCTGATATTTCAGGCCTCTTTAAAAAGCCCCGTCCTGGGGGATTCCCCCCTCCAACCGCTCTCGACGGGCCTACAAGAAGATTAAAGAAAAGCAGCTGTTTCAAAGTTAAAGCGTTGTATAATGTACATACGTGGTTCTGGGGTTACTAGGCGTTATTAATATATTATATGATCTCACCCTTGAAGGAAGCAATTCGGCACAATATCCTTGAGACAAAATTTTAATCTATTTGGCACCTGGTCGAAAGCGTGTTGTGGAGCGTGTACCAGACGTGTTGTACCAGCGAAATTACCAGTCCGCTGTAAAAAAAAATATTTAATGTCGTATTTTCTATTCATGTTCTTTTAATATCTTTGTTCCTAGTACTCCAGGATTTGCAACTATTAAAAAAGATTTACACGAAAAGGATTTCTTGCCTTTAATTAACGTTATGTAATTTAGCGTAGGCTAACAGCTTCCTGTAAACTCCTGCAAATCTTGTAGCACCTGGACCAGACTTACTGTTTGATGGATGTATATAAGTATGTACTTACTTCTCTGTTGTAAATTTTCTGTACCAAATTTCTAGGTGCGCCGCTTGAATCGTATGTCCCGTTGAATAGTTGGCGCATGTTTTGTTGTTGTTGGGCGCAACTACTCGAACCATCCGAATCGTCAGAACTATCATCAACTGTAGAGAAGTCATCATCTTCTTCGGAGGAAGCAGAGAGTGATTCAGCGAAAGCATTATAATCTGCTTCCATCCTCTCCACCTTTACGATTTACTTCCAGCACAGACTAAATGACTACAACTATTTCGGTGAAAACACCGCAACTTCTTCGATCGAATTAACGTACTCTGAATAGAGAAGTTTGCACCTCCACTTCCTCGTTCTGCTAACTAATCCAGACCAGCTCACGTTCTGCAAAGCGTACGTCCCGCGCGGCTTTACTTCATTTTTCAAAAGATTTTTAACTCTGATTCGTGTCTAAAATTTATGGACACAAACTCTTGACGATTTTCGCAGCTACAATTTTGATTAATTGCCTTAAATTTCGCATTAGATAAATTTTTCTAATACGAACCAATCAGCGCACAAAGCTGAAAATAAAAGCAAACCAAAGTCTGCGGGCTGCTGCTATCGTTTTGTTCGTCGGCAAAGCAGCCACAGATGCTGTCAATTACAAATGAAAGGGAAATATAAACAAAACCATTTGCTGGCGGTGGAGAAAGTGAGAGACACTGCGGATTTGACAGTAAATGTCAATCCCGGCATTTATCAAGGTTGCCAGCTGCATGCGGGATAAACTGAGATCTCCACTACCGGGTACAAATATCTATTGAGTTACAGTGGCTACACACGACGAACATATCCGCGCACATGTGCGCCAACATGCTCGCTGTCGTTTGCTACAGACGGCGAGCGGCTCATAAGTGATTTTGTACTCAAAGCGTAAACATGGAAAGGAAAGACGCGGATGATGCAATTGAAATATTTATGACTTAGGTTTTTTTATGTATGTTTTACTTAAATTTATTTATATTTTACTTGTATGTATTTACATACATATACATATAGTAATTTAGCCTCATTTATAAAAAATTCATTAATGCACATGGCTTGGATGCATTTATCCGCGATGTGCACACTGCAAGCATCAACACAAATTGAGGTTGTTGTTTTTGTTTCCAATGCGATGCTCGCAAGCCACGCTACAAACGACGAACATGACCCGCAAGCCGCGCATGTGCGCGGATATGTTCGTCGTGTGTAGCCACTGTTATCCACAGACCAAGTGCACATACATACATGTCGTCGCCTGGGTAAAAGATTGTCGTAAGGGCGATTCTGACGATTTTTTGTTCTTGAATCAGTTATATATTTTTAAAGAAGGTCTTTCGATTGGTGTTATCAGTTTTAGATATCTCCTTTAGTTTCCAAGATATTGACCATAATTTTTTCGATAATTTAGAAAAAAATTTAGTTAGTGATGCAGTTATATTAAACTAATAATCAACATCTTAAAAACGGCGTCCTCCATTTTCGGATATCTCCTTTAGTTTCCAAGATATTGAGTAAAAAGTGTTGTTAATTTAATAGAAATTCTGATCACATTTTGTCGTATTTCATACAAAGCAAAGAAAGAACATCCGGCCCTAAATCTATACATAAAAGAGACAACACGTTATAATTGTAGCGAGTGTGAACTTCAAGAGCGTGCTTTCTCTTTTCATCCTATCAAAAAACGTATTTAAGCAAAACAGAAGGCGCGCTCCTGATAAATACAACAACTGCTTTATCGATCTCATTTTATATGCATGATCGAAAACGTCGATAATGATGTTTTACCGGCAATTAGGGCCGATTGTTCAGTAATGACGACGACTGCTTTATCGACAACATGCTATAAATATGAATGATGTCGAGAATGTCGATATTGATGTTTAACCGACGAGTTGTGATAACCAGACATTGAACAACCGGCCCTTAGTACGGTGACCATTCGTACGATTTTGGCGGGACAGTACCGATTGTTGTCCCGCTGAATGATGTTTAAGGGCCGGTTGTTCAATGTCTGGTTATCACTACCACTACACTATCGACGAGACATCATGCATGTAACATGTAATGGATAAAGCAGTAGTTGTGCTTAACCGGAGCTTCTACCTCCGATTTGTACTAATCAGACATTGAACAACCGGCCCTAAAAGCCGGCACGTATAAGTGTCCCGATCTTTCATATTTTTTACCGCTTGAATTCCGATTTTCACTATTTTTCGGACGTGGCAGCAGTTTCGTTATCTCAAAGAACATAATTAGAATATCCGGGAGCCGTAAAGAAAGCCATTCATAAACATCTTTTTTCTATGATCATTGGTTATGTTTCTATCATTCTTTTCTTTAAGGTTTTACTTGGAAACTTGTTATTAAGCTGAACTAATTGTCGTTAAAAATTTCTAGACAACACCACTCTGTGACAGCCAAATGTACAAATGTTCAAATCGTGTGATCGCTGCTTAACCGTGGTTGCGCACATTTGGCATTAAAAGCTGCCGAGGTTTAGTTTTCGGAATGCAGCTTATTTCTCGAAAGCGATTTGCGAAATTTCAGTTGCACCTTTTCCTGCAACTTCCTGCAAGCTCGTGTAAAATCCTGTAAGTTCATGGAGTACTGGATCAGAGCTATTAACATGGGATCCTAAATTAAAGATGTCGTCTACTTTTTCAAACTTATAACTGTCAACAGTGACGTTGATGCCGAGGCGCTTATGCTCTATCTGTTTGTCTGATGACAGGATATACCTAGTTTTGTCCTCCCTCACCTCCGAGGGGACCTTCCCAAATCTGACGGGGCTGGTGCTATTACTCAACGTCCTTTTGCACAGAAACATTACTTGTTTCCTAGGGATACCAAATTCAGACATTGCCGCATAAATAGAACTTTCGTGCTGTCGACAGCGGTTTTAAAATCAACAGATACTTAGATGGTGTGTGCCGATCTTATTTTTGCGAATCTTATTCAACGATTTGGCGTATTGTGAATAACTTGGTCTATTGACTGGTCTGGTAGATTTTCCAGGTCTAAAGCCACGCTGATAAGACCCAGACAGTTCGTTGACAGTAAGCTTTCGTCTTTCATACAATACACTCGATAAGACCTAGTAACCTATTCTTAGAAGGATGATCCCGCGGTAGTTGGCGCGTATCGCGGGATTGCCTTTCGTGTGGATAGGACAGAGCACACTTAAATTCCAGTCGTCGGACATGCGTTTATCTAACCATATTCTGCATAAGAGTTGATTCATACACCTTATCAGTTCTCCGCCACCGTACTTGAATAGCTCGACAGGCCGTCACCTCCAGCAGTTTGTTTTGTTTTTCAGCCGCGTAATCGGAATCGGGCTCGGAATCGTCTTCTCCACTACTTTCAGTGCAGCTGCCATTAAGTGGGATGGAAAAGTGTTCCCTCCGTAATTTAAGTACGTTCTAGACATCGGTCACTAAATCGCCATCGTTGTTATTACAAGTGTTCGTTCTGGTTTGGAACCTTCCGTAAGTCGCTTAACTTATTGGTAAAATTTCGAGCCTTTTTCCTGTCTCGCTTCCCTCTTCAGCTCCCTATATCACATCCACACAGTTCGCGTTGCTCCTGATCGCAGCATGACCTTGTAGGTGCCATCCTTTTCTCTGCAGCCTGCTTATCGTACCAGTTGTCCTTTCGGGCTCAATGTGGTTCCACTTTGAGCAGGTGTGAGAGTCGAGTAGCGAAAAAATTGACCGTCTTTTATGATTGCTTTCCTTGCATAAGGTTTGGTTTTCGAAATTACAGCAAGAATTATCAAACATAAAAAATCGCTCATGTTTATAAATTTAACGAAGTTGTATATTCAAATTATCGTCGACAAAAATGCAACCATGTGCGACAATCATATCTTTTTCGTGATTGTGAATTCTTGCTGGCTAAAACTTATTTTGGTCTGCAGGAAGGCGATTTGAACAAAAATCATTATAATTTGTACTTTTTTTTTTCGAAGAACAGAACTCTAATTAGATGCACATTGCTTGCTCCACAGCTGCATTAGCGCAGTAGCTTGAGGAATCTGCCTTCTTATTTGTATTATCAATTTAAATATACTACTTATCCATTTTGTAATTTTCAATTTGATTTTTTTTTAATAAATAAGTTTTATAATGAGCTTTTAATGTAACAAATAAATAAATAAATAGTATAAATAACTAAATGAATGCTACTATATAGCCCGTATCACCCACGCATTATTAGCCGACCGAAGTAGAACTCATAGCCACCTCTAAGCCTTGCCGACGGCCATGTTCGCTGGAGAAGGTGTTGTAAAATCTTCCGAATTGAACTTCACGAACTCTTCATTTTGCATTCTTGCCTCGTTGTCGGCTGGCACATCGGTAACGAGAAATTGTGCTCTATTTTTGTCTTTTTGCCTCTTGATTTTCTTCAACCAAATGCTAGCCAGACCTTTTATAGGCATTGGTACTTCATCAGTGGGAGCCGACGAGTACTCATTCATTGCCGGTAATTCTGGCAGAAGCGGATAGTTTTTGGGAGAATCGTAAATTACCCAATTATCTGGCCTAGATAGGAAATAAGTAATTAATATAAAGCAAAATCTTTTGATCACTTTCTTACAAACCGTTCTAATTTTGTCAAAATTTTAATAGGCGCAAAGGCAACTGGTGCAGCAAATTTTGAGACTGCCTTCCTTCGTTCTATTTCCGTACTTTTTAGAACCTGTTTGTCGGTGGCTATTGTTTCGATTATATTCGTTTTGGTGGCAATTAAAGTTTCGGTCGTCATGTCGTCATAGTCTTCGGCCAATATGTCATTGTTTAGATTTTTGCCCTCAACATCGGTAAAAGGAGTTACATTTTCTATTAGCGCTTGCGTCGTTGGGTTAAACGTTCTTGTCGTGTTCCTATCGGTACTTCGTTCTAACGTCTCAGCGGTATTGTTGAGTTTCAGCGTTTCTGTCGTTGTATTGAGTACTGGTAGTACGTAGTTGTCGTCCAAAGGTTTCGTAGTGTTGTTCCTGTGCGCAGTCAAGTTTTTCAGTTCGTTTTCTTTTGATTTAATCAGTGCATCTATCATATGTTCAGGTCGTATGTAGCCGTCACTGTCGAATTTTTCACCCATACCCAATATGTCGTCCACGTAATCATAGTCATCGGTGTCTTCACGTTCATCATCAATGTCATAGCTAGTCTCAGTACCGTTGCTCACTCCGTTTGTCGTATTCTTGGTCACTATCGGTTCGAGCGTACGTGAAATGGCATACTCGTCATAGTCGTTTACAGTAACAATGTGTTCAAGGTTCGTTTTCTTCTCTAGCGGTAGGTTCTGTAATTGGCTATAATAGCCATAATTTCCCAATTGGGGTTTTTTGTTTTCACTCGAAAACGGACTATTTGCGCTCTCCTTCTGTGAATTACCAAAATGTGTATGGCCATTAGAAGCAGCTGCTGAGTGTTGTGAACTCAAAAACCCGGGATTGGGTAATTGACCATAGCCGGGACGGTTCGACGATAGTAAGCCATAACTGCCAGCATCAATTTGATTCGGTGGCAATGGAAGTTGCGGCTGTCCGACTACATTGGGTTTGGGTCGTATGTTAAAACTAAAAGTGCTGTCACCGCCATTAGCTTGCGCCACGCCGGTAATAGTACCGAAATTTCCAGCGCTAATCGCGCTACTGGTTGCTTGTACAACACCGCTGCTTACTACTCCGCCAACCTGGCTTAGACTAATTGCCGAGGGCACAGCTGGATAGGCTGGTGACGGATTCTGTGCGGACGGACGTGGTATGTAATGTGAAATGGCAGATGCTTCTGTATTTGGTGCGTAAATATGACTATTCTCATGCACGCTCGATACAACAGCTCCATAAGATGGGCGTTCCTTTTGTACCGACGTGCTATGCGGACTCGGTTGCTTTGGCTTGTTACTGTTTGCAAAATCACTAGAGGCAAATGTTATGAAATTTTGAAAAATTCCCGGCGTGCGTGTGGTAGTTGTATAACGGTCTTCGTGTTCGTTAATGTAAATGACAGTCGGTGGTTTAGTACGTCGAGTTTGTACAACGTTCAACGATGCAGCGGGTGTATTTGGGTAAAAAGGGTGTGGCGGTATTGTGCTCGAGCGGTACGTGCCCACATAACTGGGTGAATATCTGTCAAAGCCGAAGGGTTTGTACGATGTGTAGTAGTTTGTGTAAGAATTCGTGGGGGCAGTTATGGGCAGTGCTGAGGATGATTGTTTGTTCGTTTGTCGGATGTTTATTTCAATTTCGTATTGGTCTGCGTTGGGTCCATTTACTACCACCTTCTGTGGGCGCGTGTAAAATGTCGGTTGCGTTTTATATTGTCTGAGTTCAAATTGTCGCGAAGTCGGGCGTGTGCTCAGATTTGCTAATGATGTAACTGTAGTTGATTTCTTCAAGCTTGCACTCTTAGTTGGCTTTGCGTGAAATCTGCTTTTGGTCTCATTATGCCAGTTCGGTACTTTAACGACAATTAACTTTCTGTTAGCATCAGGTCCACGTCGCTCTAAACGTTTCGGTTCTTCGTTTAATTCTAGTTCTGTAAATTGGTTAATATTTGTTGCAGATTGTCGGTTTTCATTTGTGTGGAAGTTTTTGTTCGAAGAAAGTGACTTAGCCTCTAAACATTCGTCAGTTTGATTTGGTTTTGTGAGTGTTTCCGTCTGGTTTTTGCGGGAAATAGTCTCTTCTTTGGTTTTCAGTTCTTGGTCTAAGATTTTGAAAAGTAGCGTTGCTTCAAAAGTAGTTCTTTTGTTGTCGTTAAGTGTCAAATTGTCGTCTGCATGATTTTCGTGTGTATCTGTTGTTAGGTCCATATAAGTAATTTCCGCAGTATCTTGAGTATCGTTGCTGTCTGTTGGTCCCTGTTTTATCAGTGTTATATTCGAAAGTATTGTTTCTTCATTAGTTGAAGAATTTTTAATAACGTCTTTCGGATTAGAATCCGAATTCAGTTCACTAATTTTGTTATCTATTTTGGAAGTCAAGTCTCCGTCGAATCGGGTAAGATCTCTTTCGGTATTCGGATACGAAGTAGTCCTCTCCGTATAAGTTGCTAAAATAGCGTCTTGTTCGTCCACTTCAAACTTCGATTGGCGTTTTAAGTCGGTTTCTTTAGAGCCTTCTTTGGTATAATTATTTTCATTTATAGTTCCAGTCTGCTCTAAAGCAGTCGATATCGTCGGTATGTTTGCCGTAAGATTTTCGTTCGGTTGTTCATCTAAGTGCTTCTCCTCTTGCTCAGTCGATGGTAAATCGTTTAGTCGTAGTAGTCCAACTTCTTGGTCCGTGTCGTCTATTCGTGCTTCGATTTTGTCCACAGTCATGCTTTCAGTGGTACTCAGAGCGTTTGTAATGGAAATGCCTTTTGACTTAGTCTCAATGATGTTAGGTCCAGTCTCATCTGTTCCGACACTTCGTAATTCTATTGGTATGTTATTCACTACCGCTGTCGTGCGTCGTGTACTTTGCGGTCGTCGTGATGGATTCTTATCAAGCTTATTATTTACACCCTTGATTGGTTTTGCTGTCACAGTAGGTCGCTTCGCGGGTGAAACTTTCTGTCGAATGTCCAGTTTGTCGCTTATGTGAATCACTTCGCCAGGCACTTGAACGCCCGTCACAAAACTGTTGATGCCTGTGGCCACCAAGTTCGTATGGTCTGTTGGGCGTATGCGATTTGAAAACCCTGCCTTATTCTCTTTAACCACTTGCAATGAGACAGTCGGCGCGGTCTCGGTCATTTTGTTAGTAGTTATAATCTCGAAAACGCGGTCTGGTTCGTGTGCTGTATTTGTAGTAACGGTCGCGAAAGGATCTTGTTCGATCCACGGACTCAAGTCGAGGAGCGCCAATGCGCCTGTGCCGCACACTTGGCGCTCATTTCCTTCAATATCTGTAGGCAAGAATACATGCGGTTGCATGGTACCACCACCAACGGTACGACAAAGAACCTGCGCCAATGAAACTTGTCTAATTGATTGCAGTTGCGCAGGTGTGAACGAATTTTCAAAGCCGCCATTTTCATACCAGAAACGATCACCTTTGCGCGAATTGCTGAATTGCTGAGCAATAATGCAAGCGAATGTCGGACCTACGAGCCCGCCCACCACAGGACGTTCAGCTATACCGCCGACAAAAAGATCAATGTCGTGGACACTGCGATAGGCATGGCTAATGCGCTGCGCAGACTGTGGTCCAACGACATTGGCGAAGTCTTCCCAACTGTTTATGGGCGTGAGCCCACATGGTACACGCCACGAGGTATAGGGTGGTACACCATGATCACGTCCGCGTTGTATATTAATGGCCGCTAAATCCAAACCGAAGGGGAACCCTGTGAATTATGGAATAGATGTGGAATGATCTTTTGAAGCTGTTGTATGTGTGTCAGCTACCTGGGGTTTGAAAAAGATGATTAGTCAGCTCTGGTGTTATGAACTCATCACGCTTGAGCGCACGCTGGTTCACTAAGCCACGTAACAGGCGATGCAGCGAGCCCGGCGACCCAATGTCACCACGCTGGAATTCCTCGTGTAGGCTGACATCTAAAGATATTGTAATATTTAGTTTTCCGAGCTTTGGACTATTTCTCTCCTTCAATACTTACTGTTTCGCATAAAATTGTGAAACCGGTCACAGCGCATGTAGGAATTTTGCACCAACGAATGTCCGAACCGAAATGCGGCTGCTGCAAATGAATTCGCTACACTTGGATTCGTTTTGGGATCGTAGCCTTGGTAAAAGCCACTACTCAGCAATTCTAAGTCGAATAATCTGCACACCTCGCGTCCCAACACAATCGGCAAGAACTCCCTGTAGGTAATGTGTTGAAACATGGCGCCTATTATGCGACGCGTTTCCTGATAAATCTTTTCGTCACTCCAGTGCAAGTTCATTTCACTCAATTCCATTGCAATGCGATTATGCTCTCCAACCCAGACGTGGTGTAATGCCAACAAGCCCGGCTGTTCGCCGCTGCGCCCATCACCAGCGCGTATGCACTGCGTGGCTATAGCGCCGCGATGACACACATCCTCCGCAGGATTACCGCGACCATACACCAACAGGCCATTGCGGAAAACCCGCGCATTGTCGGACGACTTGACGCTGTTCGAATAAATGGGCGAGGCGTCTATGTATGAGGTCGCTTGACTGGTTTGTTCGCGCCACGAAAGCACGCAGTCTCTGCGCTGTGCTGGCGCGGAACGCAAAAATTCCAAGCAGCGCACCTTGAGCGGCGCCAACCAAGGATCATCCAACGGCACTTTGATGGGAAAGCAAGACGGGTGGAAATCGGTATTGCCACAGCAGCTCGGCACCGAGCCATTGATCGATCTGTGAGAAAAATTAAAAGAATGCTGTGCGGAAAAACTATAGCAATCAGTGAAACTACATACCTCGGTTGCGCTGTTGATGTCATATCGTGATCGAGCAGCTGCCCCCATTGCGCGGTCATCAGCGTTACAACAGCTTCACCATCACGCGCACCATGCACCAACAGACTGACGAAGCGCGAAGAGGCTAAAGCTCCACCCTCTACAGACAGCCGTATCGAGTCGACGCCATCGCCATACTCCGGTGGCAAAAAACGATTGAATGGCATTTGTGCGGCACCCCATCGCGGCCGACGTTTGCTGTTGCAAGTACCATCGTGTGTGCGGTAACGCGCTGAGGCGGGCATGCAGGTGGGCGGATCGCGTGGTGGACAAAGTCCTTCGAGCGCAGTGTGTCGCAGTGAAATCTTCGATGAGTGCGCCTGCCGTGCCAAGTCATTGAAGTATTTGTAGCTGCAACAATGAAGCGAATATGAAATGGCAGTCTAATCTTTTTCAATGAGAGGATCCTTTGCTACGGTCAATGTAAATATTTAATTTAAAAAATGCCTGCGAGTGTGCTTGCGCTTCGTTGCGTCTTCGACTCATCATTTGACGCATCGCTGTGACTGTTTCACTTGAAATGAATGGCAAACCTGGAGTTTGTCTGTATTTAAGCGCCCGACTTGCATTTAGTATGCACCATGGTAAGTAGTTAGTATACCGTTAGCAACAACATGAATAACCGCGTTGGAGCTGAGAAAGCGCAGCGGCGACGGATGTTATGGCAGTATGGCGGTTGAAACTTGCTTTGAACAAGTTCGAAAAGCTCACCTCTTGCCCGCACCATTTTGGTGCGGCTCATCACCCCATGCACCACTAATTGCCGGGTATGCGTTCCATTGCATGCCTAGGTGGCGACAATTGCCTACACCAAAATGTTTGCAGCAACAACTGGCGCGCAGCTGCAGAGTCAGAGCCAGGCTTAGCGTCATTAAAATTGCCGCGTTCACAGTTGAAGTCCAAATTCATAGGCGCTTCTTGCCTGCTCATGTATTCATTTGTGTCTATTTATTTAGTTACATTTATGACTTTTTTTGTTTGCGCTTTTTAATGATCTTTTTGGAAAAAGAAGTGGAGAAAGTGGAAACGGCTTTTCATTTGCAATGCTACAAAGACAATTCATATCACAATAACAATAAAAAAAATGCATAATGTTTTAACGGGTTCAACGCTGTGTCGCAGGGGCCGTAAGATAATCGTGATGGTGCAAGTTGCAACGTCAAGACTAGGGATGTTAATTTTTTCGCTCTTAACGATCCCGGGATTTAGATATTCATTACTTTTAAACAACTTAAATCGAAAAAATTGCGTCTATATTGCTTGTGCAGCCCTCCATAAAATAAATAATAAAAAAGATGCCTTTTTATTTTTTCTCTCTGACGTCAGGATTTATTTGTAATTTCAAAGATATGTTGAATTCCAAAAATTATTTAAAAAATTAAATCCAATGTAGAATAAAAATATGGGTACCAAATTAAAGAGGAAATTTTTTTAGAACTTAAAATAATTAAACTTTTTTGAATTGACAAGGATGAATAGGTCATTTTCTAAGCCGATAAAGCTAGAAGGACGAAATTCGAGGAAGTTATCGAGTTTATATAAGTCCTTAACATATAATTTTTTTAAAAACAAATATTGCAAAATTTCAAGGATAAAGGACATTTTAAATACTTACCAGTGATTATGCACCAAAAAATTGAATCTGTTTAAATTCTTCTGAATTTCCCCTTTAATGTGATACCCATACTTTTTTTCCCAGCACATTTCACTGAATTTTTTAAATCATTTTTGAATTACTGACATCAGAGTAAAAAACTAAAAACGCAATTCTATTATAATTGGCCCATGGTTTCGAGATTGATTTTTGTGTGTAATATTTACTATCGAACTGTGTTATATGTATAATGAGCTAGACATATATTTAAAAATATAAATTAATTAATAAAAAAGAAATATAGCCAATAATGGTCAAGAAAAGGAGTCTCTAAGTGCAAATTATAAATCCCGGGATTATTTGCCAAGAATCCCGTGATTTTTGGCACCTCATAAAGGCCGGGATCCCGGAATTAACATTCCTAGTCAAGACATTGGCCAGATTTGTGCACACATCATATATGTACGTATATTTATGTGCGCTTACATACATACAATGTATACGTACATACGTACGTACATACATACTTACATATATCAGGTTACAAGCTAAATTTTTACAGGGCAATTCTGACAACTGTCTTTCACCTCACCACAGTCTTTCGAAAGATAAAAGTCATTCGTAAGACAGTTGTCTAATCTGGCAACTATCTTAAAAGTACTTTACTGTCTTTTGAAAGAATAATTGAAAGATCTGCCAACGAGGAAGTCTTATTAGCGTTAGCCTTTTAAGTTTTTTTTTAAATAAATTAAATTTAAAAAACATATACAAAACAATTAAAAGTAATAAATAAAAGAAATTTAAATAAAATAATTAAAAAACTAAAATATAGAAAAAAAATTAATAAATAAATTAAATTAAAATCAAAGGAAATTTTTTTCTTTATTAAGTAAATAAAAAAAAATAAATAAAAAAGTTCCACCGCCCGAGACTCGAACTCGTGATCTTTCGAACGGCACGCCTATGTTCTGCTCACTCGGCCATTGCGACTGTTGGAGCGACGCGAGCTAAATAACATACAAGTGCTTTCTCCCAAAATATTTTTTCACCACTTTTTTGCTAGAATAACAAAAGTCTTTCGAATTATCTTGCCTTCGGTCTTTCATTTGTCTTACGAAAGACTATTTAGTGTCTAACGGCCATACCTAAACAAAAGCATTGGGCGGAGCATTGTCTGACGCCTAGCGTTACCGCCGAAGTGCCACACCTAAACAACAGCGCCAACGCTACGTCCAGAAATGAGACCAACAACAAGCATGGGTTTGTTTGTGTGAAATACGGAATTAACAGTTTCGCCGTTTGCCTTCCTAACATCCTGTCAAGATCGGACTTTCCAACCGCTCAGAGTTGGCGCCGCGTTATTTCGGTATGCTTCATACAAATTGTATGGGCATGAGAAATTTTTGACAACCAGACAACGTTGACGCTTTTCTTTAGGTATGGCAGTTAGGCAGAATTGCCCTGCCAGTTTAAGTGCCTACATTTATTGGCGGGTTTACGTGCTTTTCTTTGGTCCTTTAACATCTCAATACCAAATCACAGGCTTTTTTACATGCAACTTTCGAGTTCAAAAGAAAGTGATTGGTGCCACTAAGTAGAGTGTTGTAAGAAAAGTCTTCAAAAAAATTTTAGTCTACTTAGCCGTTCGTATTCTCTGATCTGAAACTACCCTGTAGGGAAAGCACGCAAAAACGAACCAGTCTGATAGTAACTAGTCCCACACCAGTCCAAAAGCAGTGAAATGTTCACTAAACTATTTTATTTCAAATTTTAAAAGCAGGGAAGGTAATCATTATGAGTAAAATAATTTAAATCAGCATTTAATCATTATTTTATGAATTATTATTGAAATAATTATTATTTGATTTTTATTTTTGGGATTACAACTAATGATTATTTTATGATTTTTATTTTTTCGCGCAGAGATTATCATTAATTTTGAGTTTTATTTTTCCACTTAAAAATAATGATAATTTATAAAATTGAAAAGGCCATACAGACGCAACATACTGAAATTTTGAACAGAAAAGTTTGGGTCTTATTCCTGTTATAAGGGTGCGGCAACTTCTCAAAAGGTATAGTTTTTGAGTTGCTTAATAATCATTACTAGTATCGCCACGTTGTCGAAATTCGACCACCTCACTTTTTTACACAATTTTTCATTTTGCTTGGGAAGTTTTTATGTTCATCATCGCCTGTTGATCGTCTAGGTCTCTTATATTTTTTGGTGGAGTAATACACATTATGTTAAATAATTTTGAAATTCATAGCAGCAGTAAGGAGGAATAGATTTGTATGGGATTTCGTTAGCGTATTAATATATAGATAGATGGTGAAACCAAAGCAGGCATCTACAGGCTTATACGGAAATTGGAATAACTCGGCTCTGGCGCCACCTTACGTCCATTTTTTGCAGGTGTATTTCTCTTGATGTTAGTAATATGTATTTTGAATTTGAAGCAAATCGGACCATAAATGAAGTTTTTCGGAATAACTCCACTCCTACTCCACCTACTGAAAAGATAAACAAAATGCGCACCTCCCCTTTGAAATACCTTTCGAACAAAAGAAGAATCATTGGTTGAGAAACATAGGAGCAGTAGGGAGCAATAGATTTGTATGGGATTTCGTTAGCGTATTAATATATAGATACTTAGTGATTCGATAAACAAATGCCAGGACCCTGAAGGACAATTGAGAAAGGCAATGCAGTTGCAGAAAAAGAGGCATTTAAAAAAAAGTGTCAAAAATTACCACTTTCCTACTAAATTTATTTAAAAATGCAAGCCACCAGAGCTACCTTTTTTTTAAGAAAAGACAAATTAATTTTTTTTTATGCAATCCTGCACTGCTACCTTAATACAGTCAGTCAATAAAGTTTAGGTACAACGAATTTTTTACAATACGGGCATTTAGACAAGTAAGACAAAGTGAACTAATATTTTTACTTTTAAGCAGAACGCACTTTTGTTTTTTACTTACTACTTAAGTTTAATACTACTACTACCACTGATGTGATTTATAAATTTTTAATAAATGCGTTTAAATATTTGTGATGTTATTGTCCTTCCTTCAACCGATTGTATTTAATATAAAAGGGAAATGTTTCGACAAACTTAATTAGAAATATAGATCTAAGGTTACGAATTTATAACAGGTTGGGAACTATAAAAAATTTTTTTTTTTAATTTGTATTATTTATTTATTTTTTTTTTATAAAAATATAGTACATTCTTTCTAGTTTCAATCTTTGTGCAATATTTAAAAAAAATCAACAAACTTGAGTAAAACTTTCGAGCTTTTTAATTGGCTTTTTAGAAATATTTTGAATATTCATGTAAATATGTTTTGTAGCCCATTCAATTTTAGTACAATAAAGTGCAAGTTGTTTGTTGAAGAAACTAGAAAATCGCGTTGATTTTTAATATTTTTTTTTTTTTTGCCGACGGTGTTGAGCATTTTCCCTCATGTAAAGTATGCTCGTCAATTGCTTTTACATACATATATGGAAGAAAATGCCTAGCACCGTCAGCAAAGATAGGTTTAAAACTTTGAGTGCAGTTGTTAAAGTTTCTTGAATTTTTATAATTTTTGTAAGAGGTTTGAAATGTGGATTTATGTGGTGCCGGTTATCTAATGTGCTAAACTTTTAATACCATTAAATAAACAATAGAAAAATAACAAAACTGGTAAAATCGTCCCATAAATTAATCAGCTGATCGCAAGTGTAGCTACATATGCATATTTATGCAATCAATAACGTACTTATGC